TGCGATTTTAAACAGAATATTTTGCCTATTTAATATTGATTAATTATCTCAGCCCGGGTCAAGGCCTCGATCATTACAGACATTGCTCTTGAACAGGCTCTGTAAACACTTTACAATCAGCCGAGTCCACGACTGCTGCGCGCCGTGCTGTTGTCAATATTCTTGCGTCAGATAGATAAAGAAGGAAGAAATCCAATGAAAGTCAAACGGCTCCCACTGAACCTCCAGCAGCATCTGTCTACATTACTCCTTGTGAGCTTGTAGCAGACTGTCCTCCTCTCTCTGGCGCCATGTGCTGGTTGATGTTGATAACGCAGATCAGCAGCAGGATGACCACCACCAGGTCATCGAGGACCCCCAGCAGTCCACACAGGGAGGGGTCTGTTCCCAGGGGATTGGCTGATGATGAGGAGGAGACGGGGTCCAGAGGAGGGTAGGAGATGGACACCACGGTCCCCACACAGCACAGGGCCACCCTGAAGAAAAACAACCACACCAGTCCTCCCATGGTGCCCAGGCTTCTGGTCAGCAGTTGCAGGAGAAGAGGCGCGTCACACAGGTAGTCTGTGACCTGCAGGGGTCAGTGAGCAGATGGGAAAACATGTAAGACATAAACATGCAAAATGATATAAAGTTGTACATAGTTTTAAGGTAAGACTATATTCAGTATAAGGAAAAATGCCACAACATTTGTTCTGATTGGTTTAAAGTATTGTAATCTGGTACAGACATACTTAGAGCAAGTATCTAACGTTACAACCACAAACCTTTTGGATTACATGAAAAATATATGTATTTCTGTTCTTATTGTGCCTTCATAGATATCAAATACTTGATTGTGGTCTTCACTTTATTGTGAGTCTTTTTATTATCTTACTATATTTATTATTTGGGCACATATAGAATGTTTCTCAAAATACAATGAAATATATAGAAGAAACAGTAATCACATGAACCCAATAACTAATTTAGTATGAGAAGAAAAATATACTTTTCAGCCAAAAGGCTTGACCTATTTTGAAAATGTCTTCAGATTTTTGCTTAACCACTTCCATCAAAGGAAATCAACATCTTAGCAGCGGAAATGGGTTAAAAAGGAACTAATGAGAATCTAATTGTGATGGATATATTTCTACTGTCACTCAGCTTTCTTTTATAAGTTCCTGTAAATAGTGATGTTCATACAGTGTAATAGTACACCCTCTATTAGCATATAACCACATAGCTTTGTTGGTTGTTTTTTAATATAAAACTAAATGATATCCATGTGGGAAACCCTTTGTGCTTGTATTTTAATAAGAAAGGAACAAACACGCTGATACGAGGTAGGGCAACAAGGCGTGGCAATGCCAGTTTATTAGCCTCCTTTGTGTAGGCAATAAATCCCTGAGGTTGCATAATGGTACTCCTGTTACCAAGCCATTATAAGAGGAAACGTTGGAAGAAATATAAACTTTCTCATGAGACTAATCTAATGTTAAATTAAAGCATGTAAGAGAAAAAAGTGCACCGCCCGGTACAGACACACACAAAGGGTTTAGAATAGGCAAACAAGCTGTGAAAATGCTTTAAGAAAATGTTAGAAACAAGTTAAAAATACTGACCCTTCTTGGGGCTCCGGAATAGCGTTTGTTGTAATCTGTGATTTCCCCAAGAACTTCCTTTGACTGACTGTCTGATCGACTCTCGTTAAACAGATTACAAAGCACGCTGACCTGGGAAATCAAAACAACATTTTATTTTATTTTCACGTCAATGTCCGTTGTATTCAATCTTCACTCTTGTATTCTGAATATGCATCATGTACCTTCTGTCTGCAGAGAGGGCAGCTTATTGCATCCAACCAGGACCCATGTCTCCAATAAGCGATCAGACAGGGAGCTGCAGAGTCACATAAACAAATACTCATTCACTTATTAAACATGTATTCTATGTTGGATTATTCTGGTGAAACTGTGATGACACTCGGATGCAGGCATGACACTCATGCAATGAAGTTACATTGTGTCACTGTAAATGATAACAGGCGAAGTGATTGGGCGATTAAAGGGTTAAAAAAGATTATGTATAAAAGGCTGGGTTGAGACACAGGTAAGTAGGTCACACCTGTGTTAGGTGTCCACAGTATGTTATGGTAAAGGTGCTGGAATAAAAACATCTTTATAATCTATCAAAGGTTGTTAAGACTGTGACAGCCATCTCTCAGTAAAGATTTCTTTATCTTAGAAATCGAATGCTTTTTTTTAAATTTGTGTGTTTGAGTTGCAATTAAGTCACACACACACATATCTCTATCTTTTAAGTTTTAAACTATAACACATGTATTGTACCCTTGTTCATACAATGTGTATAAACTGTACATAAGACTGCCCAGAATCGCCTGTATTTGGTAAGAATGTACTTATAAGTGCACCCTTCTCAATACTATACTTTGATGCTACAAAATCAACATTTTGAATTTAGAGATCTGCATTTGATGTTCACTGATGCACATATGTTAACAGCTAAGTGAACGTGTTTGTTTGGGATGACATGCCACACTCCATCTTATATAACCTTACCCCTTAAGAGTGATTTGAGTAAAGCTGTCAGGTGAGAGGCAGCATTGGAAAAGCGTGGCAACACTTTATTATTGTAATTCAAACAGACAGGCCTCAAGATCTGAGACTCACTGATGCCACACTGATCAGCCAATGAATCAACAGAGATACAACGCATGGTGTAACGGGTAAGCAACAAATACACAAATGAATAAACTTGGCTGCTCTAATACCTGTGTGTCAATGTGTGTGTTTAAGTGTGCATTGAATCTCGTACCGCAGAACAAATGGCCGCAGTTTGTCTGGACTGGGAAACTGGCCGTCTGCAAACACACTGGACAATGTGAGTCTCTGCTAATGGATGGGCATGACTGTGTAGATTCCTAAAGAGATGAGAAGACAAGAGAAGAAGGCAGAAATATGTTAAGACATGACAGGTGGAAAACAGGAAAATAGAAGTAGGAACAATTTAAAAAAACAAGGAAGTAGAAAACTTGAAGCAACAAAAGAGTTGAGAAAGCTAAAAGACTTTATGGCCAAATTAAAGGAATGCTCCACTCATTAGATAATTAATCAAAACTTCAGTATTTAGTGAAACATTATGTTTAAACCATACCCTGAAGAAATCAGCGATATTCCCCGGTAAATAATGATTTTATAGCTCTTTTTTTATCAAAACCTGTATATTCCGTCAGGCCGCTGCCATTTTGCCCATTTTCAGTAGTCACGTGATGGTCGTGACGTCATCCATGCGTTCACTTTGTAAACACACGAAAACATGGAGTATTTGAGTTCGGACTCGTCAGCCGAGGAAGAAGTTTTGAGCAATATGAAGAGATTGGATGGGGGAATTCAGCCATACAGGTTCGAGCCTACTTAGTACTACTTAGTAGATACAATGATTTTGATTACTAGATATGTATGCATGTAGTACCACCCTTGCTAGCGATTCCCTCTCTAGTTTAGCATACTCAGCCAGCCTCGTTGTCCCTGGCCCTAGAACCACGATTTTATGGGGCCGGAAAAACTGGGGGAAAATACCCACTAGCCGGTACTACGCTATATGGAAAGGCCACCAAAAACTGGCCTGGCCTGGACGATAAAGGACGTTTAAACGGGGCTACCCGCTGCAATGGAAATGCGCTATAACCAGGGGTGCACATAACTTTTTTTGTCCTGGTTCTCAAAGGAGCACCTGGAGATGTTGCTTGGTGCTCATCCTTAAAATGAAATAAACCGTAACTTTTGAGGGGGTCTTTATTTGTCAGACACACGGCACTGAACACACATGCAGAGGTGAACACAAGACAACATTAGCACGACCAGTAATCCTACAAGCTGTCATCACTCCCCTCCTGACTGTTCTCCTCTCTGTCAGACATGGTAGCTGATGATGTAGGCCTACTACTTTCTCTCTGGTTGAGTCTGCGATTAGCTGCTTGCATCCACAAGTCAACAGCTGGGTTTGGGTCGAAAGTCTCTGTTGTCATCTTAGAAAAGTGGATGTAATCAAATAAGTATGTGAACATAACCAATAACCTACCATAGCCAATAACAAATGGATGTAACTTATTTTATTTGTGTTGTTCATTCATATCTTATTTTACCTTAAAAAAAAAAAATGTATCTCTCCAGTTTTAAAGGATATTTTTGGTTACTGTCCTATAGTATACATTGGAATGATTTCAAACCTGTTTATCCCAATAATTATAAAGGAGTGCCTTGGAAATATGTGTTTACATAAATTGTGACCAAATCGTTTGAACTTAGACTAAAGTTAACTATCTAAACACTCAAGATTACTTTACCTCACTGAGCTGTATTATCAGCCTCTCAGTCTGACTGGGAGGACTCTCTCTCCACATTATTCTAGAAACATCTTCTTCTTATATCCGTTAGAGCAGCTAGCACGGCACCAGATTCTAATAACAGCGCCGGTACCGGTGCACCCTCCCTCTCTCCCTCACTCACTCGCATTTTGGCTGTGAGCTGCGGTTGCCAGATAAGCCAACATCCCCCATTTTCATCACTTACGATTTTCATCGTACAGGGCAAATGAAACGTGTAACCGGGGTGAAAAGGGTGTACATTTAATTGTGAATATCGTTACATCAAGGCCGAAAATTAGGATGAGCACCAACGGTCAAAAAAATGTTTTTCCCTCCCAAAACTGCCAGCGCAGCGCCTCCACAGATCTGGCGCCCTAGGCGAACATCTATTACGCCAGTGCTACGGGCCGGCCCTGAGTTCATATGCAACTCGCAAATATCTTTCTCTCTTCTCTCTCCTCTCTCTCCTACCTTCTCTCTCCCCCTCTTCTCCCTCTCCCTCTCAATGTTGGTGCGCAAATGCGCCTTTTTTCAAATGACCCGGTGCTCTTTTTTTTAGCGGAGGTGCGCATGCGCACCAGTTATGTGCAGCCCTGGCTATAACATACCTTATTCTTACTCCGAGCACTACTTCTGGTCCTCCGTCGCTTCACACTTGCAGAAGGCGATTTCTCAACTGGCCGAACTGGTGTCCTGGTCGGTGATGACACCAGAAAGACCGATGGTACTGCATCTCCATTAAGTAATGGTTGTTCAATAAATCCCATGTTATGTTTTATCATACTCTCAGAGTAGTCGTCCGGAAACTTGAAATGTTCGCTGCATACATGCGCCTGTGGAACTTTCGGTTCGGGCCGGCCACATTTCGCTAGCCACTGCCTCCGAACGTACTTCCTACGCTTACCTTTTGGCAACAGATGGAACCGAGCATTCCGTGGATTGTTCCGATCAGAATTGTGGCAATGTTTCGCGATACAATGAGGCATATTTGAAGAGAGTAACCACAGTAAATAACATGAACATCAACGTGTCCTCGAAACCAAACGCATGGTTTACGTCACGTCCGGTAAAATGGCGCCGCCCACAGTGTTGTTATTTCGGTAATTAATCAGTTTAAAATCACTGATAATGTCATCGGATTAAAAAAAAAAAAAAAAAAAGACTGGCAGAGACTGGTCTTTTTTATCGGATGATAATTATTTAAAAATGAGTGTCATGAGCATACCATTCCTTTAAGTATTCTTATAGATTACATAAAGAAAATTATTATAGCTACAAAATACATGTTTAGAGAATTATAGTGAATGACAAATCTTGGGCTATAAACCGTTAGATTATAATCATTTGTTGGCAGCATCTCTCTCCATATCTGACCCTAATAAATAAAGCAATAATAATAATAATCATACAGGAGTGCCTTACAGTAATATATTCTTTATTGCCTGTGTGCTTTTCCCGGGCCGTGGTCAATATTTGTTAAAAACATTAATACAAAAACTGAATGTACCAACAGTTCAAGATTGAAGAACTTGCATACAGTATCATCAGCTTCATGTGTGTGTGCTCACAGTGTGTATGTGAGTGAAGTTCTCACCTTATGGTGACACATTAACTGTAACGCTGGCTGCTCTGGTGTGCTCAACAGAGATCTGGATGACCGGAGGTGGCCGTTACCCGCCGGACCTTCAGAGGAGAGACGGTCCAGACTGCAACGTGACACAACATGGCGACAGTGATAAAGACGCCTGAAATATTGCATATCTGCTAGTGAGAAGGCTCAAAACTAATGATTTGAGATTTATTTGTGAAGTATGACTGCACACAGCTCTTTTGGATGACAGATCATGCTTATGCTCTGACTGCAGCAGTTTTCAGATAAGATACTATGTTGTATCAGCATTGTTGTTTAAGATGGAAAGTCAAAATGAGCATTGTAATGTAAATTGTCAAATTAAACTAAGCAACAATTCTATCTTTAATTTCACCAGGCATCATAAACATCTTCGGCATCACAATCTGGCTTTTATCATTGATCAATGAACAGTGATTACAGTAATTATTTTATGAAATGGAGTCAGATAAACAGAATCAATACTGTCATTATTTTTGTAAAGCAAGAAGACCTTTTACATAGTTTGCTCAGGTCTAAAACATGTCTAGTTTTATATTTTGTGGAGCCCTTAAACAATTATTTAAAAACTCTTGAATGATGCACATGCTGTTTTTAGTCTAGTAAATTACACATCAGATGAACTGAACTTAAAGTTTGCCTAAAACTAAAATCTGAATTATCATTGAAGTACATCTTGTGAATTACATCTCCACTTGTGTTCTGCGATAACAATCACAATCATAATTGTAGATGGGACTCACCTGGATTGAGAGCTGTGGTAGGGGTGCATGGTTGAGCCAGACATAGCAGCTGACAGTTAGTCACTGTCTCCTGGAAGGAAGTGAAGTGCTGTCTGGCAGCATCACTGCAGAAAATAAAGCTGCCTGTTAATGATTAACTACACCCTCCAATGAGCGGCTGTCTGAGTCTTCCTGCTTTACAAGAGCAGTAATGCAGTCAAATGAATACAGCAGTGGTTTGTGAAGTTGTTCTATTCCCAGAAGAACACTTGTGAAATGTTAGAATAGCCTGTCTAACTTTTAGTTTTAAAGTATTAATTCCTTAGATATTCAAAAAGAAAAGCTCCCACCTCCAGTCTGGTCAGAAGCAAACTATTTGGGGTCACATGACACTAGATCAAAGCCAGGCTTTGTTGAAGTAGGTTAGATCTGACTTTGCTAATCATTGACCCAAAGTTTACTCTGACAACAACCTGCTTCACATAATTCCTCTCTTACAATAAACTTTTGGTTGTGAAATGCATTTAAATGTCCCTGACATTTACACCGTACTCCACTGAGGGTTGTAGAGACACTCAGCAGTTGATAATCAACCCAGCAACAAGCGGAACGTTCTTAAACCCACTGTGGTATAAAGGTAGATTTCTGTTTTCAGAAGCTGAACTATTCACATTATTTTAATATCAGTAAAGTAAAGGTGAATCAAAATGACTGAGCAATAAAGCAGTAATTAAAAGGACTATAATACATTTGCTTTGACTTCAAGATAAGAAAGATATCTGACGGGGAGTGAAAATGTGAAATAACCTTCACATAATTCAGCATGACAGCCATTGCAGAAATATCCAGACAAATATTTACACAGGCTCTTCACCTCACTCCAGGAGCTAAAGAAGGGAGGGTGGAAGTGTCAATGTGGTTCAGGTCATCTAAAAATAGCAGCCATCAGTCTGTGAGAGTCAGGGTCTGGTAGTAGCAGAGCCCAGGAGATAAAACAAACAAGTTCACCTACTGACAGTAAAATCTGGACAGAGGACGCTCCTGCAGGCCGCAGGGGTAAAGTCCAGTCTCAGGTCACACTGATTTTAGGAGTGTGACATATCAACGAATTTATCCCAAAGTGTTACATCCCCTAATGTAAAAAAATCTTTAAAATGTGTGATAAGTCTATGAGTCTCATCTTCCTCAAGCTTTGTTGGAAACGTTCATTGTGTGGCTCAGAGAGCAGCAGACAGGACATGAGTGAGTTATTATGTACACAATGTAGCCCTTAAATTATAATCATAGACACGCTCATGAGATATATAAATGAGTGAGCAGGTTTATTATATTCATGGAGAATGAATTAATATTCATACAACAGTTGGCATGCTGCCAAGCTTTAAGTGGCTGTCTGAAAGGAGGTTGATTAAAGAAAAACACTTTCTATTTCGAGTTAATGTGGACAATAAAACGAGGGTTGAAAGGGATTAACATTTTGTATTCAATATCCACCTCTATGCTATACCTGCAAAACTGTCTGTGCAGGATTATTATTTATGTTGGCAATATGGGTGAGGTCATGTAGTCCTTCAAACCGTGGCTTGCATCTTGTTTTGTACCTGTTTTGGTATCTTGTTGTTTTTATCATGATGACTCATTCTTTCTTATGTTTTGCACTGGGACTAGGGACAACATAATTGTGTTTGTTCATGTAGTAGTGTACTACTGACTAAATATATAAATAAAAAAGGTAAATGACACAAGTGAAAGAAATATGAAATATACTCAGATAAAATATAATTAAAGTAATACGCTATATATACGCTATATATAATGTATTCAGTTAATGATTTAATTTAAAATTTGATTGTAGCTAATGTATAAATATACAGTAGGCTATATAGCGTTTAGTAGAGGTACAGTGGCAGTTTGAGGATTGGCAATAGAAAAACAAAAACTAATACTAGATATTAATAGAAAAATAAAAAACATTGAACTGAATTCTATTACCGTGTGTTTGATCCCTCAAACTCTCTACATCTATAATCCATCAATTATGAGGGTTAGCCATTTCATAATTACACGGATCAAAAATGATTTGATTTTGGCCAGAAAATGGAGGCGTGTTTAATCACAGATCCAACTCACTGATTGGCTATAGCGAGGTTTAGCTGCTGTCAATCTCCCCAAATCTCAACGCTGATTGGTTACGTCTTGTATTTCCCTCCCTTGATCTCAAGTAAGAGCCTGCACATAAGTAAACGCCGAAGAACTAAGCGGCGCCATTCGCGTACGTCTTACGTTATTTTACGGACAGCACTTCCATAGTGGCTGTCAAGTTTACGTGTTTAGCGTAAGAGCGCTACCTCTTGGCAGCAGGTGAGGTCAAATGCAGAGGAAAGGAGCGGAAGAGCTTTGCTGACAGGTGGAGGAAAATACTTGAGCTTTTAAGCTAAAATGGAACAATCGGACGAGTATAAAATGGCACTGACCGAGAGCCTCGCAATATGGGTGAGTTGTATAAAATGACATGTTCAGCTAATAGCGTTATGTGAATGTGCCAGCTGATACAAGGAAACCATGGGAGCGGACCTACCTGTTTGTAGGTGGTGGGGGTGTCAGCGAAAACACTCTTTACAAACCGAGAGAAAAAGAGACAAATTACAAACGAGCAGATAGTCGTTTATTGTCGCTAAGCAAAATCGTTATTACTGAAATCAGCTTCAGTTGCAGCCGTTATTTAATTAAAGTCTCCGTGGCAACAGTGTCAGCCCACCGGCATAGTAACGACAAGAGCTGGTACTGCAGGCTAATAAATCTAAAGTTAAAGGGACAAAGACAACACTGTCCTTTTAGTTTAGTCGATCCTCGCCGTATTTCGAGTTAATCCAATTGACTGAGAGATATTTGTTCAATGTTGCTGTTTTGTTGACCTTGTGTAAGTGATTACATGAAGCTAATACTAGCAGTAGTTAAGTGTCCTTCGTTTGTGTAGCTAGCGTGCTGCACCTGTCCCTCTTCATGGTGGAACCCACAGTGTGTTGGTTGTCTTGTTAGATATCATGCCAGCAGTATCTGACATCTAAATCCCGTGGCTATGTCTAATCCACTTCAGTTACCTTGTTGACAAACAGTGGACAAATCTTACAATTTAAGTAGGAGGTCAGATTAAACCCTATACTGTTCCTCACAGGGAAATATTAGGCTATTTAATTGTAAAAGTGTTTACCATTTTGGCTTTGCTTAAGAGGCATGACTTTTGGCAAGGATGTGAGTTTTTTTTATGTCTACTTTGGTTAAACCTTAACATTTGTGTTTCCAAAACACAGACACTCAAAATGCCTCCTTTAAAGCCCTCAAAACTACCCCCCCCCCCCCCCCCCACATCATAGACTACGTGCATTATATGAACGCACACAATGTTCATACTCCTAGATGCACATATTCTTATTTCACATTTCATAGTTTATATTCTAAAATTCATTCATAGCATTCTATTTCCATGTAAATTACTGCTTTATTTAATTTGTATTGCTATTTAACTGTATTTTATTTTATTACGGTGTAAAATATTTTGTGTTTTGTATTAGATTTCTTATTTTTTATATTTGATGTATGCACCATGACATCAAGTCAAATTCCTAGTATGTTCGAACCTACCTGGCAATAAACCCGTTTCTGATTCTTCTGATTTAAGGACATTAGAGGGACCTTTAAGTGTTAAGTTAGTCTACTGGGTGTCATGTGGAAAAGCACATTTGTGTCCAATAAAAATGTACTTTATGTCATACACATCCCAGGCCACATCAGCATTATGGTTGCACTTAAAGGGCCGGTTGTAATTTTAATTATATATAAATATACATATGTAAATATATAATATATATTCAATAATGTATTATATTACATTGTTGGCCCTGCATTGGATTATTATCAGTTCTGGTCATATCTTCCTAAATAACTACGTCTGAAAGCAGAAGTCTAGGGCAAATAATTGAAAGTAAATATTCAACAATTACACCAATTGTATTGTATATTATATTCTTTGCAAGCTCTTGCGGGCCACATAAGATTAGGTCGCGGGCCGGATTTGGCCCCCGGGCCTTGAGTTTGACACCCATGCCTCACACCATGTCTGCTACCTTAATTATTTACATCTTCACTTAAGAGGGGAAGCCTTTGTCCTAACCTGACTGGCACTATCTCCTCTCTCCTTTATTCGTTCTCTCCTCTTCAGGGTTTGAATGTAGGTAGTACACTATCTCTACACATCTGCAGTTTTGTGAAGACACGCTCCAGTGATGGCTTGGAAATAATGCAGTGGGCAGCAGCATGTCACTGCCTCCATAGCAATGTTGTATTCGCTGTTCTCTCCATGGATTGTTTGCCCGTTCTTCCTGTGATGCTGTGTTTTATGCTTCTCAGCTGCAGACCTTCAACACTCCTGCACCCTGCACAGCAGTGGGGGAGCTGACCACAGGAGTGGCCATATCACAAGCACTGCATCAAATGTAAGTCACCACATGCACACACACACAGTTAATGTCAATCATAAACAGCCAGTGTTGTGCTAGTTACTGAAAACCAGTAACTAATTACCATTACTAGTTACTTCATTTCAAAAGTAACTCAGTTACTTTACTAGTTACTTACACCAAAAGTAATGCGTTACTGTGAAAAGTAACGTTTTTGTTACTTACGTTTTTGTTACTTACGTTTTTGTTACTTACGTTTTTGTTACTTACGTTTTTGTTACAGTAACGCGTTAGTCCCAACACTGTAAACAGCCAACATCAGATTTTATTGTGAGACAATGAAAATCAACAACAACAGATTGTTTTTAAGTTCACCACCTCTGTTAAACATAAAGTTCTATTGTAGCCAAAGCTACGGGACATATGCCTTACTGTCTGTTACTCTCCAGCTACATGTGTAACACACAGCTGAATGAAACAACATTCCTGTATGAATATTTTGAGAATACAGGAAGTACTTTGCTTGAGTGAAAGAAAGTAGATAGAAAGCAGATATTGAGTATCATCCAGAATCATTTGACCTTGAACGGCTGACCTGTGAACTGTCCCCCTCCTGTGTGCTGCAGAGACCCATCATGGTTCACTGACGGATGGCTCCTTCGTATCAAACCAGATGTTGAGGACAACTGGAGACTGAAGGTAAAGGAGTGGTGTCTTCCCCATCCTCTGCTCTCTCTCACTTTTCTCTTCATGTTTTGCTTGAACCCCGTGTGCTAAATCCTCTGTTTGCTTCAACCCTGCTTAACTGTCCTTGACACTGCCTTCCTGCGCTGGTGCTGCTCCCGGCTTAGCACTCTGACCCTGCTCTCTGACTGCTCTGGGGAAATGTTTTCATGTATGTTTGTCCAAATTGGTCAGCTATATCTAATGTAGTTTGGAAATTAAATGCATGCCATTCTCTCTCCCATCTGTTTGGCTGTGACTGTATCACTGCCCTTAGACATGTTGGCATGCCAGATAAGGAAACTGCTGACAAATCAAAACATCTGCTTTCAAAAATGCATATTTTCTTGCACATATATCAAAAATCATGGTTTTGGGATGGCATGAGCATTACTTCTGTTTGAAGTGAATCTGTGTTGTGAGTGTGACTAAACTAAGTTTACGATATTGTGTGCGTTCTCAGATGAACAACCTGAAGAAGATTCTTCAGATGATCGTTGATTATTATAATGAGGTAGGTTGTGTTCATGTACACAATATTTCAATATTATATTTGAAAAAGTTTGAATTTCATCAGCTATTTATTTTTTTTATTTAGTATTTTCCTTAGTTATTTGTCAAATGAAAGTCTTATATTTTATTGTTTTTATTCCTGTTTAGTTTTTCAGTCAAGTCAAGTTTTGGTCATCAGTAAATCTACTCTAGTTAAAATATCACCTTCGTTTTTCCTCTCAAGCCCTGCTGTCACTGTTAACATTAAGTTGAATAAGTAGCTGTAGACCTTATTTCTTTGGGGGATAAAATATTCGAGAATATTCCTTCTCCTCTATTTGTCAACTAAATAAAAAAGAGATTATATATTTTTTGTATGAATTCTAAAGGTTAAAAACATAGTTGAAGAACATATTGAGTTAACAAAATGAACACACTAGCACATGCACAATATCCCTTAGTGTTTGCACATTAGATGATTGGGAGAATCAGACTCTTGTGTGTTCATTCACTTCTTGTGGGATTTGTACTACACACTGTTTACGTAGCGCTAAACCCCATGAGCCCGTTGTGCAATTGAGATCAAAGCAAGCTTCAAGTTGTTTAAGCCTGGCACTCAGAACATCCACAATGGAGTACTGAAGCTCAGCCATTTCTTTATCCACTCCGCTTTTTCAACACACAACTGATTTATGTTATCCATTCATTCTCCCAGTTGTAGCATAACTACTCACACAGCTGTTTGCAGGTTTAAGCTGATAGAATCCATGCAGTTTTGCTCACTGTTTTCTGACTCTGTGCCGTCAGGTCTTAGGCCAGGAGATCGCAGAGTTCCTGGTGCCAGACGTGGCTCTGGTGGCAGAGCACTCAGACCCCAAAGAGCTGGGGAGGCTGCTGCAGCTCGTATTGGGCTGTGCTGTCAGATGTGAGCGTAAACAAGGTGTGTGGCTGCTTCTCTGTTAAAATTAGACGCAGACATATTTACAGCAAACATTTGGTGAACAGAGAACAAAGGAAGGGAATAGTTCCATCAAAATCTGTTAAATCAGGGCCTGTCAGAGGAACACTGTTTAATTATTGCCCTGCCAAGCCTCTGACAAAGGCAGAGCCCTTCAGGCAGCCTATCTGGGAAATCAATGACGTCAGTGTTACATTTGCAAGTGGGGCACAAGTGCTGAAAATGAAAAAACAATGTAGTCGATGTGTGTGTGTAGTATTTGATTCTATCATTCTGTCGACAGAATACATTCAGATCATCATGACCCTGGAGGAGTCTGTGCAGCACGTTGTGATGACAGCCATCCAGGAGGTCAGTCTGTCTTAAAGGGCTGCTTCTCATGTTTCAATAGGGGTGTGTGAGGTACTTTCACCTAGTCAGAGAAATACCTACAGAAGATGGAGATAGTCATGCTCCCAGTTAAAGGAAACCCATAACAGGAGGAAAGCAATAGTCAAAACTTATTTTAGCAACCTAAACAAATCTTAGAATATTCTCACTGCTTTACCTTAAATGTGTGTACATTGTTAAAGTGCTTTTGGTGTAAGCAAAGAGAAGATAAACCACTTTATAAATGCAATTAATTTACAATTCAAAGCCAGCAGACTCTATTGACAAAATCATTCATTTCACTTTAATGAGAGAACACAGAGTTGCTCGTGTACCACTGCCTCAATCAATTAGTTGTTTGTCCGATTGAATGACTTTGGTTACACTGACGAAGGACCTCATACAACCCCACTTCAAAAAAATCCGAACTATTCGTTTTATACCAAGTTTCTCCCACAATCAGATTACAGATGTCAAAGATGTAAAACGTTTTTGTTTTTTAAAATCATTTATTTGATGTGTTTTTTAATTAACTTCAGCAGCAGTATTTGTTGAAGGAGGGCATTGACTATGTTTGTATTTGGGTACAATATATGTAGGCTTTGAAGCTATTCAAATGAATCTATGATCCATAAACCCACTGACCTTTTTCCTCTCCAGCTCATGAGCAGAGAGATCACAGCCCCGTTTGGAGCCGAACTGTCCGGGGACTTGGATCATCAGGTTTGTATTTTTATTACCACGCAGGTTCTCAACTGGGAGGTCTTTTTTTTGCCTTTACACAGTCTGTACGTTATACTGTGTCATTTATTTTAACTAAGTGAATATGTACCATGTACATACTGTACTTAATAAGAATCCCTCAAGTTCATGTTAACATTGCATTCTAACATTATTGTTAGAATTACATTGATTATATCCATATATCCCTTTCATTTGCAAGTAATGTGTACATTTTCCCAGGTAAGTAATTTTATGTTGTCTTACTAAATTGGCTCTATATTCTGCTTTCCTTCATGTTTCCAGCTGAAAAAAGCCCTAGAGGAACTCACTGAACTTTTAGCGGACAAGGAAGCATTAGCCCAGCGCTGTCAGGACCTGGACATGCAGGTGAATACAACTCTTTTACACCCTCTCTTTAAGGAAACAAGGGATTATTAAATGTTCTTTTAAATTAGACATTTACTTTTCTAAGAGGAGAAACATTATGGGAAATGTACCTTGTGTTAAGTACATGACTAAAATGCGTTGGTCATATTTTGCGCAACACTAAATTCACAAAGAAGATTATACGTAAACCTGGTCATTTATGGTAATCAAGATTAGAGTGAACGTAACATAAACTTTGCATGAAGCTTGAGCTTTACTATAGTTGTGATGAATATACAATTCCAAGTTCATTACCTGAGATCTGTCTGCTGCAAACAGCCTCATGGAGATGAATTCTGACAATCTCACATTTTATAAACGAACACAAATCTTTTAAGTAAGTCATTTGGTGTTCTTAAAATCATTCTATTAAGCTGGTACTAATGTGATACTTTGTTAGCATTCAGAGGCTGCTGGTGCAAGCCTTCTGTGAAAAATAAAGTCATTGATCACTAACAAACAAAACATTTCTATATTTTGACTACCGTAACTTACGACCCTGGTATTTGATTTCCTGTAGGATAACACCCTGCAAACACCTTTAGTGTTTCTAAAGGAAAACATATATCACAATTATTTTCTGGTCTCAGTACTTGTCTATGGCTTAACTGACTTTCAGAGCTTCATGTCTACATGCATGCAGGCCAGCGGTACTGTATAAACAGGCGTTGTGTAATGTGCTGTAATGCTTGGTCCATTGTCTGGAGCTGCTGTGGCAGAAGGACTGTGGGCTCAGAGTCTGGGCTCTGCTGGCCCCTCTGTGGCAGCGAGCCACTGCTAGAGCCCCCCCCTCACCACTGTACAGACTCCATGTAGCACAGGCACTGACCAACTGTTTACTGGACTCTCGACAGATTGATTTGTTTTGTCACCAGTGTTGCTCCTCTCTCGCTGCAGAAAGGTAAGTCCAACATGGCCGACCTTTCAGCAAAAACTAAACCCGTCTAAACAAGCTGCGCAAATGTTTACTCTAACTCCGCTAACAGACGGCTCATCAGGATGACGACTCACACCGTGTCTGTCTTCTTGGTTTCTTTCTGTAATTTACCAAAGAACATCTGTCTGATGGAATAACCACTTTGTCATCTTTTCATAAAAGCAGTGGGACATTTTATGAAGGTTGTTTTATGTGGGACTTAAAGTAGTTCATAGGATTAGACAATGATGATATAAATAAGAATGGGTGATTATTCATTATTCTTTATTTTAAAACTTTTAGATTAAATCTTTTGTAAATGATAATCACGATATTCTGTTATCATTTTCTCTCATTTAATATTGAAAAAAGCTGTTTTTGTTTTTTCATATGTGTGAAAGATTTCATCAAAAGTAGTGCTTTATATGATAATCTTATTATGTTATGCTGCATACAATGTATTCATATATTAGAAAACCGTAAGATATTTTTATTATACTATTAATTTGATCAATTATATATAGCTGTAGTTAAAAAAAGTATTGTCTAATGTAGGCTCTGACCAATGAGGTGGTTTTTCTCCAGTTTGTAGACATGTTGTCTGCAGGATGTTTAAACAACAACACGTTAACATGGACTAATAATCTGGTGCTAAAACGGTACACGTCAGGGAAATGATGGGTGAGAAGTCAAACTAACTAACCGTGTATTAACATGTTTGCTTAAAGGGCACTTTGTCTGTGCTCTGCTTCCAGCATGGTTAACTGTTTGCTTACAGCTGGGAGAGGAGGAGAGTTGCCTGTAATGGAGGGGGTCTGTCTTTTGATGTAACTCAGATGTAACTTTACAGCTTTGCATGAAATAATTGACCAAAGAAACCGTAACATATTCTTTCTGATTTATGATTATGATTTAAATGTATGTTTTGTTTGTATATTTAATTCACTTCAAAATTGTATAACTTTTGTGAGAGTGGCTCTAAACAGTGTTGTACCTGGACAGGTGGCTGTTCTTCAAGAGGAACGGAACAGCTTATTGGCTGAGAACGATGTCCTAACAGACCGAGCCAATCAGCTGGACACATTCGATGACCCCAGCACCCCCTCAGGAAGGAAACACAACCAGCTGCAGCAACTGTTAGAGACGCTACAGGAGGAGACCTTCAGGTGGGTCACCTTCTGCCAAAGTGTGCTGCAGGAACCTCGTTATGGTTGTAAAGTCTGAACATTTATGTGAATTTGCATCTGTTTAGGCTGGAGGCGGCTAAGGATGACTACAGGATCCACTGTGAAGAGTTGGAGAAGCAGCTGATCGAGGTTCAGCACCGCAATGACGACCTCACCAGCCTGGCAGAAGAGTCTCGAGCACTGAAGGATGAACTGGACGTTCTGAGGTTTGTTTCTTTGGGGGGGATGTCAATCAAGTCTTTTTTAAACAATGTAATAAACTGATTGTTCCTCAAGGAGCGGCAAACAAACACAGATCAGTCCTGTGCTAGTGTGCTGGAAAGAAGGCCACTCAGGATTTCACTGATTAGCCTTTCTCGCCTGGTTGAGTGAGTGCTAATCAGTGAAATTAGCTCATGTTTTGCTTGGCTTGAACAAAAATCATCCGATAAATTGCTTTAAATGTTGTGGACCTCTTGAACAAATGAAACCAGAAAAGCAACATCAATGTAATACTCCAAAAAAAAAACAATTAACTGTTAAAGATATATTACTACATTGTAGCATGTATTCATTTGCCGAGTCAAAAACAGGGATTCAAGATTGAAAATGATTCTTTCGGAAGCAGTTGTAATCAGCGATTTATTGGTAGCCTTTTTTAAATTGAATGCATTTATTTTGGATTAATATGTTGTAGGAACTGCTCTGATCGGGTGGTGATGCTGGAGGCCTCAGTGGACACATACAAACGTAAGCTGGAGAATCTTGGAGATCTGAAGAGGCAGATGAAGCTGCTGGAGGAGAATAACATGACCTATATGCAAAACACGGTCAGCTTGGAGGAAGAGCTGCGCAAGGCCAACGCTGCCCGCGCACAGCTGGAGACGTACAAGAGACAGGTGAGGCAAAGCATGGCTGGGAACTAATGGGAAACTCCACCACCCTACATCCACCTAACTTCATATGCTATACATCTCATACAGCACTCAGGATTTAAAATGAACAGCAGGGAGACAGATTGCAGTTTATATTAGGAAAGTGCGGGAGCCAAGAGCCACAGTGCTTTAAAGATGTTTGTAGCTAACTGGACTTCCCATGTTAATTATTTTGTTATCTTGATGCATAATAATCAACCTGAAAACAAAACTGTTGTTTTATCTTATTATGTTTATTAGAGATCAGGAGGGAGATGACAGCAATTCTAGATGGTTCAAATCTTAGGTTGTTGTAAGATAACTGGGTTGAGAAAAGCGTGGCTGCTTTCCGCTGCCCTTGCTGCATAGTTTTATTTGTTTACATATGTTTTCACTTGCTGTTTGTCAGGTCCAAGAGCTACACAGGAAGTTGTCTGAAGAGTCGCGGCGAGCAGACAACCTGGCCTACGAGATGAAGAAATTAGAAGAAAAGCACGAAACTGTGATGAAGGAAAAAGAGGTGAGGCAGCTTGGGAAATGTGTCCGGAACAATCATCAAGAGGGCTTCATTTTCTTTTGCTGTTACGAACTCTGTGGTTTGAACTTCTATTCCCGTCCATTAGAGGACCATCATAGAGAGGGACTCTCTGAAGGAGACCAACGAGGAGCTGCGATGCACTCAGGCTCAGCAGGTCCAGCTCTCACAAGCAGGTATCTCACTGCAATGTTAAATCTGACAGTAATGACGCTGCTTTGCCCCTTTTTTATTCTAAAGCACACATACTTTCTCTATGCAGGGATTCTTCCTTCTTCCAGCCCCAGCCATGAAAACCTGGCAGCTGAATTAATACCCATAGAGTACAGGTAAATGATGCGTTTTCAACCATGCAGAATTCTTTATCCCTTCCTCAGTGTGCTGTGTGATGATTGACCTTGTGTGTATTGTTGTTCAGAGAGAAGTTCATCAGGCTGCAGCACGAGAACAAGATGCTGAGAGTGCAGCAGGAGGAACTTGAGGGGGAGAAGATCGCTGCACTGCAGGCCCAGCTGGAGGAGGCTCATAAGACACGCAGTGAACTGGACACTGAGAACAGGTTAAGCGTTTTACAAGTCTTCATAAATCAGCAGCAAGCTTTGTTTTACCTTTTATAGTCATTGACTTTTGGCTGTTTTTCGTTTTGGGTGTTTATAAACGTATTCTTGTTTTATATTTCCTTCCTCTTCACGGTTATCTGCAGATTGAGTGGAGAGCGGATGAGTGAGCTGCAGCAGCAGGTGGAGGACCTCCAGAGGGCTCTGCAGAGTCAGGCAGCCAAACCTGATGATGTGAGTGAGCCATGCTGAGAGAGAGAGAGAGAGAGAGTAGAGAGAGGAGAGAGAGGAGAGAGAGCAGAGAGAGAGAGAGAGAGAGAGAGAGAGAGTAGAGAGAGAGGAGAGAGAGTAGAGAGAGCGAGCTATCTCGCGCAACGCGATCTAGAGAGAGCTCGGCATATAGCGAATCGACTAGCCGGAGGCGAGAGCTATACCGA